CATATAATGTACCGATATCTGATTTTTATAGTATTATTTTGTTCATATATGAAATTCAAGTTAGTTCCTGTTATTGTTATCTTTGTTACAATTCAAATTTTCTTGGATCAATTTTTTTTTTTAATTTGATTTGAATTTGTAGTATTCAATTGGAAAAGTTGGATTAAAAATGTGTACTTTTGATTAAAAAAAAAACTCTTAATTTTAACTAGTTATGCTTCAATAGAAATTTAAATGTAGTTTCAAATTACTCCTTTTGATGACAAAAGGAAATACTTTGTTTGATTTTACTTGCAAAGATCTTGACTTTTTGGTTGAATCCGAGTTTGAAATCATAATAATAACCTTTCATTCTGAAACAGAGCAATGGCATCCCACATTGTTGGTTACCCTCGGATGGGTCCCAAAAGGGAGTTAAAATTTGCATTGGAATCTTTCTGGGATGGTAAAAGCAGTTCCGACGAGCTGCTGAAGGTGGCGGCAGATCTCAGGTCATCCATCTGGAAGCTGATGGCTGAGGCCGGAATCAAGTATATTCCTAGCAACACATTTTCATACTATGATCAAGTGTTAGACAACACGGCAATGCTTGGTGCAGTCCCTCCTAGATATGGTTGGAATGGTGGTGAGATCAGTTTCGATGTTTATTTCTCGATGGCTAGGGGTAATGCTTCTGTGCCTGCGATGGAAATGACTAAGTGGTTTGACACCAACTAGTAAGTGACGAAAACTTTGTATACAGTACTTTTTGCAAAATTTATCTTATTTTTCTTGACATTAATGACATTTATCATTTTTGAAGTCACTACATTGTCCCGGAATTGGGACCAGATGTCAAGTTCTCCTATGCATCTCACAAGGCTGTTGATGAATACAAGGAGGCCAAAGCCGTGAGCTTGCTAATTCTCATGCTATCCTTTTCTTTTCTTTTCTTTTCTTTTTTGCTGTTTAAGATTTTTAGTTAACAGGGAAGTTCTCAAAAAAAAATTTTCTTTTATTTCAGTTCATTTTCCATAGGCTATTAAATTTTTATCTTCTCGTGCTTCCTTGGTAATGTTAACACCATTAATAATTGAAGGAATTGCTACATTTTTTTCTTTAGAAAGAAATGCTAAGGCATTTTTTATTTTCGTGAGATTCGATTTACTATTAATATAATGAACCAGTTACGATTATATTTCTGTGAGTTCTGTTTTTCTCTAAACTTTTTGTAGCTTGGAGGCTATATGGTGTAAAAATATGAAAATAAGTCCTAAAGAATAAGCCAGGAAGATGTATACTTAGCTAAAACAAACTTTTACATAAATCCAAATGTTATAAGGATCTGTTACACACTTGAAGCCTTAGATATGGAATGTCAAATAATCTTTAAATGGATTCCATATATCAGAACTACATTTGACATCTATTGATCCAGACTTCATGGCTTTACTTTTATAGTATCAGCATTGCAGATGAAAGTTGTTATTTAAGAGGAATACCATTTTAGCTCCATAACATGGCATCCAAATCATAAAATGGTTGCTTTTCATTTAGAATGTCCTCCTAGGAGTATTTTACTTGGGGAAATTGTTCATTGACTGTGAAAAGATGCTTCAAGGTTTGCTTTTTCACTTTATTGACAGTGTTGGAAAATTCTCTACCTAATCATGTTTGTTGAATTGCTAATTTTTATTTCATTGTTGTGATGCAGCTTGGAGTTGACACTGTTCCCGTCCTTATAGGCCCTGTGTCTTACTTGTTGCTATCGAAACCAGCAAAAGGTGTGAATAAATCCTTCTCTCTTCTTTCCCTAATTGGCAAGATCCTTCCAATTTACAAGTAAGGCACTAAACTGTTTGCTTGACCTTGGTGAATCTGCAAATTATTGGGCTAAGCTGTGCTGAAATCAGTGCAGGCATATTGTCTTCATTCTTATAATTGTTACTTGTCAGGGAAGTTGTTGCTGAACTGAAGGTAGCTGGTGCAACATGGATCCAGTTTGATGAGCCCACCCTTGTGTTGGATCTTGAGTCGCATCAACTGCAAGCATTTACTGATGCCTACTCAGAGCTAGAATCATCTTTATCTGGCATGAATGTTCTTATTGAAACTTACTTTGCTGATGTTCCTGTTGAGACATACAAAACACTTACTTCATTAAAGGGTGTAGCTGGCTTTGGATTTGATTTAGTTCGTGGAACAAAAACACTTGACTTGATAAAGAGTGGATTTCCTTCTGATAAATACTTGTTTGCTGGAGTGGTTGATGGAAGAAACATTTGGGCTAATGATTTAGCTTCTTCACTTGGTACCCTACAGGCTCTTGAGGGTATTGTTGGTAAAGGTATTTAGACATTTACATTCATTTCTACATGGAATTTTAGTATGTAATTTGCTAAAAGTTAAGAAAAATTTTTGTTTTGTTCTCCTACAGACAAAGTTGTGGTCTCTACATCATGCTCTCTTCTCCACACTGCAGTGGACCTTGTGAATGAAACTAAGTTGGACAAAGAGCTCAGGTCCTGGCTTGCATTTGCAGCACAAAAAATAGTTGAAGTAAATGCCTTGGCCAATGCATTGGTCGGGCAAAAGGATGAGGTATTTCTTTCTTACTAGTTTTGGTGGGTTAATGCTAAATACTATTAGACTGTTGCAAGCTTTAACTGGTATTAGTCAACAACTATAGAACTTTATAGAGGATATATGTTTTAGCTATGTATGAGTTTTCCGCACATTTACATTCCAGATACTTGAATTACATTCCACAACCACCTTAGCTTTATACCAGCAAGCTCGCACCTTTCTCTACCTCACTTCTTCTCTTGATTGTCAATCTACTAGGCGGACGAATGATTGCTCTCTATAGCTTTGAAATATGTTGTATATGTTCTAACTATTTATGGTGATGCAGTCAGTTGGAATGCTCTAGGCGTCTTATTATTTTTATCTTTTTTATAGGCATTTTTTGCTTCCAATGCTACAGCTCATGCATCAAGAAAATCCTCTCCTAGAGTGACAAATGAAGCTGTGCAGAAGGCTTTATGTAGTTATCGGAGAACTGTCATGGTCATTCATTTTCTGAAATGATTTATGACCTTGTTTTTTTACTTACATTTTGGTCCTTTCTTGTATAGGCTGCTGCCTTGAGGGGCTCTGATCATCGTCGTGCCACTACTGTAAGTGCTAGACTGGATACTCAGCAGAAGAAGTTGAAACTACCGATTCTTCCTACCACCACTACTGGATCTTTCCCTCAAACCATGGATCTTAGAAGAGTGCGTCGTGAGTACAAGGCTAAAAAGTGAGATTATTTGCTTTTTAGTTTATGTTGCTATTCAAATCTTTGTTCATGTTGCATAATAAACCAGTTTTGCCCATATATTTTTAGGATCTCTGAAAATGATTATGTCAATGCCATCAAGGAGGAAATTAACAAAGTTGTCAAGCTCCAGGAAGAGCTTGACATTGATGTTATGGTGCATGGAGAGCCAGAGGTGAGCTTTTATCATTATTAAAATGGTTAGGTATGCCTAGGCTTTAACTTCTGATGGGAATAAAGGTCTTAATTTCTCATTGTCTTATGCAAATGTACTTTGTCAATGCAGAGAAATGACATGGTTGAATACTTTGGTGAGCAATTATCTGGTTTTGCCTTTACTGTGAATGGGTGGTTCAGTCATATGGATCCCGTTGTGTCAAGCCTCCTATCATTTACGGTGATGTGAGCCGTCCTAAGGCCATGACTGTTTTTTGGTCTTCAACAGCTCAGAGTATGACTAAACGGCCTATGAAAGGAATGCTTACTGGCCCTGTTACAATTCTGAACTGGTCCTTTGTGAGAAATGACCAACCAAGGTGAGTTAATGCAAGTAGTTATGATGCAAAATTATATATTTTCTATTCTTTAACTCAGTACTGTTGCCTGTTTCTTAGGCATGAAACCTGCTACCAGATTGCTTTGGCTATTAAGAATGAGGTTGAGGATCTTGAGAAGGCTGGCATTACTATTATCCAGATTGATGAAGCTGCTTTAAGAGAGGGTTTGCCTCTTAGGAAATCTGAGCAGTCTTTCTATCTGGAATGGGCTGTTCACTCCTTCAGGATTACTAACTGTGGCGTCGAAGACACTACTCAGGTTTCTAATTCCTATCCTCTTTTTAGTAACTGAGGCATCACTGAAACTACTTGGCTTCTTAAGCCTTTAACCATTTTATAAATCAATGGTATTCTAAAACATGTTAGATGTATAAATTACAAGGTTAAGAATAATAATATTTACCATTGTTAAAGCTTCTAGAGCAATGAAAATTCTTAGAAAAAATCAATGAAAGAATCTTTTTTCTTTCTTTTGAAGAAGGAAAAAGTTTTGAAATGACACGAATAAATTTATAGAACCTTATTAGCATTTGTTAATACGATTCAATACGGAAATTTTCTGTATAAAATTTGATTTACGTGTACAAAATGTTTGGATTTTTCTGAACGTGATATTGCAAATTTATTGGATAGATTCACACCCACATGTGCTACTCAAACTTCAATGACATCATTCACTCTATTATAAACATGGATTCTGATGTGATCACCATCGAGAACTCGAGATCAGATGAAAAGCTTCTATCTGTCTTCCGCGAAGGTGTCAAATATGGAGCTGGCATTGGTCCTGGTGTGTATGACATTCATTCTCCTAGGATCCCATCCATCGAAGAAGTTGCTGACCGCATCAACAAGATGCTTGCAGTCCTTGAGAGCAATATTCTGTGGGTCAATCCTGATTGCGGTCTCAAGACTCGCAAATATTCTGAAGTCCGGCCTGCTCTTAGCAACATGGTTGCTGCTGCCAAGCTCATCCGTACCCAGTTGGCAGGTGCCAAGTGAGTTTAAAGAGTGCCACAAGATTATCTCGAAAACTTTCAGAAGGGAAAAGAATCTGCCAGAGCATGAATAATATTTCGGCTTTTTGTTGAAATGATTTACCTTTCTTTTTTCTTTGCTTAGGAGTTAATTGCTATGTATTCATATCCGGATAGATCCGAAGGTCTTACATCTTTATATATATCTTTCGATCTCCATGAAGCTGGGTCTCCATTCTCTGAAGGTTTTTTCATTTTTTCTTGATACTTGAGATTGTCAAATGAGTTACAGAAGCTAGGATTTATTTAAGTTGCAACATGATATGCATTATATAATAGTATTGTGCTGAATTATTGGAGTATGGGACTAAGGATGGTGGTGGTGAAGCAGAAGCAGCAACCCTTGGCCTTGAAAATGGTAAAACTAGAGAAAAACACAATCACGAATCTTGGCTAGCTTACGACGTTTCTGTCCAGCGTTTGCTTTCTTTTCCTTTTCCTTTTGGCTCCGTTTGCTGTTCACTGTCCTCTCCTTCCTTCTGTCAAATTCAAATCAACGCTAGATTTATTGGAGCTGAAAGAAAGAAAGAAAGGTTTGCCAAGAAATGTTGTTGAATTAATAAAGGTGAAATAAAAATGGCATTGTTGCAGATTGATGGAAGTGGAACCCCCCACAGGCAACAGTGGACGCATCATCCATCTACTATTTTGGAATAAAAGGTCTCACTTTCAATGAAGGAAGATTGAAAGACCCAGATTTGTTCCATTTCTAATGAACCCAAAAGATTCGTCAATCTCAGTTTATTTTTTCATTTTTTGGGCTAAAACAAACAGGATTTTTCCAGATGGAATCAGGTGCTTTTCGATAGGGACGCTAGTGGGCCAATTCCAACTTTAAAACTAATACCTGCATATATTCCGATATAGGTTAATGCCTCCATATATTCCGATATAGGCTTTTGGAATTTGGAAGATATATATCGGAAATCTGAAGTCTAAGATTTAAAAAAGAAAAAAACAAAAACAAAAATACTTCGGTTTTATAAAAACATTGTGAATTTGTTTTCCGACTGGGAACCTTATTTCCCTTTTTGGACCGGAAAATAAAGATCAGCGGCATGCTTCAAGCAGCGGAGTCCACGGTCCACACCCGATAAAACTCATTTTCTCTATCTAGGAGCATCATTTTTTTCTAATATACCACAAACCCACAAACCATTTTTTTACTTAAAAAAGAATCCTTGTCTTTTTTTTTTTTTTTTATTTAAGTTGCATATAAAAAATCAACTTGGAACGAGCCAACCATAAAACATAACGAATTCAGTATTTTTCCTTTCACTAAACAAGTAATAAATATGTTTCAAAAAATAAATAAATAGATAAATAAAACGCTTTATATCTTTTTGCTTATCGAACAGTAGAAAATGAGTCAATGAATTTATAATCTCAAGACGAGGAAAAGTAAATTAGTTTGACCCTACCACTAACTTGTCGCACAACTTGATATTGATATCGCTTGGTCTGGGGTTATAGCCATCGGTTAAAAAGTAACATGGAAAAAGGTTTTTCTCATCAAGGATGAATTCTTAATTATAAAACTTAAATCTTAGCGGCGAATTTGTTTGGTTACACTTATGAGCGCTCATTTAATTCGTTCTAAGATCTTTTAAGACCGTATAAACAGAAGCAACTTACTCGGTCAAAACAAACAGCTTTGAGAACCTAAGTTCAAACTTTTAAAGGATTAGAGAGGTAAACGAGAGAAATGACTCAAATTTTCCTCAATAAGAGGATGAGATGAAGAGAGTATCAAACCAAACATAGATTGGATAAATTCAGAGAAACCAACTTAAAACCAAATAACGTTTACAACCTTGTTTTGTCTCATTAGATAATGGGACCAAAGATAAGCACAAAAGAAGAAAATGTGAGCTCAGCATATTTTTGTGCGTGTGTGAGATGATCAGAGTAAGCAAAACGCGTATTGAAAATCAAATCAGACAAACCATAGAAAATAAAGATATACTGAAATTTTGAAAGATATGCAAAAACGTCAAATCTTTCAAATTGGTCTAGGTTCATGGCAGCAAGAATAGAAAGAAAACACCAAACGTAAAAGATAACCGCTAACAACCCATACTACTGAACAAAAAACAGAGGAAACAAGCAGGACACAAGGTCCGGTCCATAAAATAATGCAAACAAGAAACAGACAACCACCCAACCAAAGCTAGTAACATAAAAACATAGATGTCCTACTGAGAAATAGAAATCTTAGCAAACTTATCTGCCCTGTTCCCTTTTTTTCCCATTTTTGGATTATGGTTCGAGAGGTCCTTACTTGGCCATCATGACTTTCACGAACTCCTCATAGTTGATCTGCCCATCACCATCAACATCAGCTTCGCGGATCATCTCATCAACTTCCTCATCTGTTAGCTTTTCGCCAAGATTAGTCATGACATGGCGAAGCTCAGCAGCAGATATGAAACCATTCTGATCCTTGTCAAACACCCTGAAAGCCTCTTTAAGTTCCTCCTCTGAGTCAGTATCCTTCATCTTCCTTGCCATCAGGTTAAGGAATTCAGGAAAATCAATGGTCCCATTTCCATCAGCATCAACTTCGTTAATCATATCTTGAAGTTCTGCCTCAGTAGGGTTCTGCCCAAGTGACCGCATCACAGTCCCCAGCTCCTTGGTAGTAATGCAACCTGGACAAGGATGAGAAAGAAATGCGACAATATAAGACTACATTATTGGTTATAAAACAACGAACACAACCAAATACATTTGACCAGAAAAACAGACAAACAATTACTTTAATACCTATAGAAGACAAAAAGGGTCAATAATATTTTCAAACTGTTTTCATGCCATAAATCTCCGCCGATATACTTCATAGAGACAAATACATAGCCAAACAAGCACAGAAGGGGACTCTGAACATTTTTCCAATGTGACAATAAAGACATGGAAATTTGCACAGCAATGTATTCAGTCTAACTTATCGAGCTACAATAATCTAGCCACTGAAAAGTTTCAGACTGCAGAAGCATCAAGAATTGGAAGTTTGATAACTCATGGATCAGCTCATAAATACCAAAGAAAGATGTAATTACAAAAAATAACTATACATATTTTCTGGTCATCAACTGATTCGATAACCTTCAAGTAATAAGTATCAAATATAATATTTCATGTTTAGGATTATATATCACAAAATTAACCAATTGAATCGTCCACAGAAACTCTTGACTTTTCGCAACTTAACAATAAAATGCTGATTATGATTCATAATTATCAAGCATGCATAATACAAACATAACAGCTGATATCCAGGATGGAACAATGAGTCTGACTATACTGCCAATACGCATGTCCCATAAAATACTAATAATGGTCCTATATCTTAATATAGGTTGAAAATGCAGGTTCAATCAAAGGGAATCACATTCAAAACCATGGGAGCTTTGCTAATCATATTAAAGTTAAACACTTACACAAAACAAATGAACCTTTAATCATGATTAAATCGCAAATCAAATCAAATCACAATCCAAATCTCAAACATAAATTATGCAACAACTCACCAAATAAAATGAAGATCTAGGCAAGTCTCGTTTGCATCTAAAAGGATCTAACCCTAACAAGTCAGATAGATAATGAAACTGAAAATGAAAAAATAATTAAAGCGATGAAAATCAAGAGCAACAGCAATCAAAAAACAAGGAAATGAAATAAAAATAGAAGGTCAAGCAGGACAATAATTCCATAATCGGAACCCTAGATCCGTTACATCACTCAAATCACAAAAGAAAGCGATCCAAAGTTAATTAATGAAACAAAAATTAAGCATCAAAAACAAAAACGATGCTTAGATCCGCAAATCAGAGCTGAATCGGACGAAGAATATCATTAAAACATAATTAAAATGAAAAACATCAAAGAAGAAAATAAAAAAGAAAGAGAGATGAGAGAAAGGACCATCGCCGTCCTTGTCAAAGAGGCTGAAGGCCTCCTTGAACTCAGAGATCTGGTCGTCAGTAAGCTGATCGGCCATCTTCCCTTAAGCTTTTCTTTTTCTCAGAAAGGATGTGCTTGAGGAGAGAGATTAGCAGATGAAAATGATAAGAGATTGCGAGATTGATTGTTGAAAATATAGAAGGCGGTGGAAAGGGTATATAAAGGGCCCAAAGTTGGGCCCAACACAAATTAAGGCATCTGATTCTCTCTCATCCTCACGCATTTGCTCGCTCTCTTCTTTTTTTTTTTTTTCCTTCTTTTTTGAATTCTTTAACTGCTACTTATTACGTATCAAGTTCTACGTATTTTTTCATTGTTAATATTCCACGTGTAGGGATGGACCTACTATAAATTTTTAATTTTATTTATAAAATTAAAAATTTTATTAATATATATTAAATAATTTCTCGTAAAATGAATTAAAAGTGTATATTCACTATTTCTAAAAGCACAAAAGTGGGAGTATTATTCCGCATGGTGGGTCCATTGCCTGTTGGCCACGAAATGCACAATTAGGAGAGTTGAAATTTCAAACAAACCTTTACTCAAAATAAAGGACGAAAAGCAAAAGAAAGTTTCTAGACAATGAGTGAAAAGAACAATGCTACAATAAAATATCATATCAGGAGAAATTCTTTGTGCTTTTTTTTTTTGGTTCAAATATAAAGGCAATTCTTGGTGCTTTTCAGCTAAGGGAAATGCCAAAAAGTACATAAAAATAAATACTATTAAAGATTGTTGGAATTAAGAGGATAATTGATTTAGATTTGGTTTTGTCTTTCTTTGAGATGCTTTGTTTAGGTTTGTGTAAAATAATTTGTTGTGTTACAACATCTAAATCTTGTATTACTTAAATGATTTTAATCATTTTCATAAAAAAAAAATTTATATATGAAAGAGAGCTATATTAATTATATGTTGACTGATCCTTTGATCAATTGATATATCATTAAATTAATATTTAAGAATTACGAATTTAAAAGAATTTATACATGTATTATTCTCTTCAGTCAAATAAATATTAAATAATAAAGTTAAAAATTTAAAGATAGATTAAAATTTTCAAAAAAATTTTATACAATACTTAGGAGTTTTTCCTTTCCTTTTTTTTTTTTGTTTATAATTTACTGTACATATGTTTATAAAATTGTATGTGAAAAGGAGTTGTTTATCAGTTAATTAAAACTCCTCTAGATTAAGTTAAAAAAAAGTTGTTTACTATCCTAATAAAATTTTTTTATTTTTTCCAATCTCACCAAATACAAAAATATACAATTATGGATTTCATTTTCATTTTCCCTAATATATTTCTTGAACCAAACATGACCTAAGTTTTTAGTGATTAAAATTAATATTGTAAAGTTAAAAATTAAAAGAAAGTTATTTAAGAAAAACTATAGTACAACTTAAAAAATTCAAGTAAAATAGTAATGTTTTTTTATCTTCACTAAAGTTTAGTACATTTCAAGTCACATATATATTTATATTAAATCATGTTATAAGTAAGTACATTTTCTCATAAAATAAATAATTAAGTAAATGTATACATGTGATAGGTTGCACAACGAGAATTAATACTCTTTTATCTCATAAATTTCATTTTAAAATTCAAATTTAAAATTTTAAGTTAAAAATCTTTGATTCTAATCATAAAGATGTTCTTTTGAAAACAATGTATTTAATTAATTAATACTTGCTTTAGGTGTTTGTTATTTGATTATTTATTTATTTTATCTCATTAAAATTTATTACATAACTTTTAAAGTAGAAATCTACTTATATTAATATAAGTGTTACACTCATTTTTGACCCTTTAATTAAAATTAAATTCATAAAACTTACAATTTAGTCATTTTAATCCAAGAGTCTAAAAAAAATGTAACAATGTAAGTAGATTCCTCTTTAATTTTTTAAATTATTAATTTATTACTCTAATGGTTGAGTAAAGATTAATAATAATTAAATATAGAATAAAAAATTATGATTATTTAAAAATCAAATAATATGAATAAAAGATTATGTTTATTTATATGGACATGAATATTATAATTAACATTTGGTAAATTTTTAATTTGATCGAATTAAATTAATTCATATATATTATATTAATTCATGTTAAATTTTAATAATTCAAAAATTAAAAAAAATAACTTTTTATTATTTATATTTAAGCTTTTAATATTTTAATATCCCTACCAGGGTATCGAATTGAGATTTCGAGCTACGTTGATGATTCAAGTGTTATCTATGAGTTGAGACTTGGACCATCAAATCTCTTTTGCTCCAAAATAAAAATGGATCTCTTTCATTTTTAAATTAAAAAAAAATGATGAAAGAAAGAAAATAATAAAGACGAAAGAAAAAAAAAAACTTTGATTAAAGAAAAGTAAAAGTATGTCAAAATATTTATTTTTTAATTTTTTTAGTATTTAAAACTTTATTTTTTGGAAAAAAGTTGAGTTTTTTTGATGATTTTGGAAGCTAAAAATGAGCTTGTTGTTTGGTATTTTACATCTTTTTATTTGATAAATTGGATTTGTTTTGAAATTATTAATAGATATTTTGTGGTAGAAAAACCAAAAAAACATTATGTAAATGATTGACATAAAAGAAACAATTGTAAATCATATTGCGAAAGGGTTTAATTATTTTTTGTAATTGGTTCAATTTTAATTAGATAAATAAAAATGCAGAATTTGCAATTTATGATGTGAATTTTTGAACCGTTTTCAAATTATTGATTTTATGTATATGTAAATAGTACAGTATTCGTGAAAAGTACTATAATGAATAATAATGAAACTCTAAAATAAAAGAAAAATTACAAATTGTCAAAACAAAATGATTTTGTGAAAATTTGTTATATATCATATAAAAATTACTACTCACCCAAAAATGACTTGAGTATTTCAATCAATTTCTTACCCAAAACCTCTTATTTATTGTTAAAACCCCTTACTTTTTGTTTATTTAAAAAAAAAAAGTGAATTTGAATTGCATTTATGAGACAATGGAACCAAAGATATGGTATTTATAAGCCTCCTTACCCATTTATAAATTTCATCCAATAATTTAAATTTAATCTTACTAAATCTTCCAACAAATATTTTAATGGTCTAGATTAATTCTCACCACTTCAAAGGTTAGTACTAAATTTTAGAGTAAATTATTTTCATGGTTACTAAATTTTGAGGTAACTATCATTTTGGTATCTAAATTTTAAAAAGTAATAAATTAATCCTTATATTTTTATGATTATAACAAGACGACCCTTTTATTAAAAAAATCGTTAATCTAGCTATTAAAGCAATTTCAAGGATAAAATTAAAAATTAAAAAAGAAAAAAGGATAATGATAAAGCTTTTTTACATGTTATAATTATAATAATAAGTATTTACTAAGAACTTTTTTACAAAAATAATTGCTTTTTTTCCTTTAATTTTGTTAATAAATTTTTTTGTGTTCAGTTTTAAGATAGAAAAAGAAATCTATATTTTGAAAATGAAAATAACTTATTTTTTAAAATTTATTTTTTGTTTGTTTAGAACATACAATTAGTTTATACATTATTATAAAATATTTCATTGTGTATTTGTCATTTATTTTATAATATTTCATCATCATAAAATATATCTTCAAAAGCCAAGTATTTTTAATTATAAAACATTAATATAAATTTTTCAATGAAATATTATAAATTTCACACTTTCACTTATTAATAGAAAATGACAAAATTGAATTATTTAGATTGCAACTAAATAATTTCATAGACTGAACCAAACTTGGATAATATTTTTAGGTTATATTTGATGCATAAGATTTTTGATATGATAGAATGATAATCATTTTATATCATCGTTGATTTGTATCTAAAGAGAGAGATGTGGATTGTAAATAGGATTATTTAATTTTCTCTAAGTGGAGAAGATTATTTTTAATCCGTGAAATTAAACTTAAATATCCAATTATATTCTTAAAAAATATATCAATAATTTAAATTGTATAAAATTTAAGGAAATATAATTTTGACAAATAAATAAATTATCATATCTTAATATTTACATACATCAAATATAAAATAAGATAATATTATTTAATCTAATTTTATTCATAATATCATTTTATCATATTCTATCATAATATTTTGTATCAAATATGACCTTAAAATCTGACCCAATATCTAGCTTGACTTATTCATTATAACCTGTCCATTTTACTATTAAAAATTAAAATATTAAAAAAATATTTTTATATTAATATTTTACTTTTTTAAATATAAATTAAATAAAAATATTTTATTAATAAAATAATAATTTGATTGAGTTGAGTCTAGGCCTTAAAAACTCGACTCAAGTCAACTTTGCTTGTTTATTTGGTTGGCAGCTTAATTTATAGATAAATCTATTTGCAGCTTAACAAATTTTTTCTTGAAAAAGTAAAAAATATTAATTAATTTAAGAATTAGTATTAAAAAAATAATAATAATGATACATAAGAATTAATTTTCTTAAAATATAAATTAAGAAAATAAAAATTTTCAAACTTTTATTTCCTTCATAATCATTATTTTATCTTTTAATCTTAAACTTATAATATTATCAATTCATTATCTTAATTTGTATTTTTTAATAATGCTAAACTCATAGTTTTGCAGGCAGAATGATTGTTTGGTTACGACCTTCAAAATATAAGGATTAATATATATTATTTTTTAAAATTTAAAGACTAAAACGATATTCATCTTAAAATTTAGGGATGATAGAAGTAATTTACCCTAAATTTTACAGTTAACTTTTTCACCATTTTACTTTTTTAAAAAAAAAAAAAAAAACCTTTTTCACTCGACTTGAGTCAACTTTGCTTGTATGCAGGTTGACAGCTTACTTTATAGGTACATCTATTTGCAATTTAACAAATTTTTACGTGAAAAAAATATTAATTAATTTAAAAATTAGTATTACAAAAATAACAATAAAAATACATAAGAATTAATTTTCCTAAAATATAAATTAAGAAAATAAAATTTCTCAAACTTTTATTTTCTTCATAATCATTATTATTTTTTTAAAAATTTAAACTTATAATATTACCAATTCATTATCTTACTTTGTATTTTTTTATAATGCTCAACTTATAGTTTCTCAAATGGAATAATTATTTGGTTACGACCATCAAAATATAAAGATTAATATATATATATATACAT